GCGATACGTGGTCGCTTTGCCTTTTAAGCCGGAGGCTCCCCCTCTAGGCGAATCCCGTCAAACTGCACTTGCGCGCTTTCGTAAGTTAGAGTTTCGTCTCGAGCGAAACCCGAAGCTTAAGGAAGACTATCATGCCTGTCTCCAAGAGTATCTGGATATGAAGCACATGGAGCCCGTTAAGGGCGAGCCGACATCAGGGGCCACTTATTATATTCCGCATCATTGCGTGGTCAAAGAATCCAGTGAGACCACTCGCACTCGAGTAGTTTACGACGCCGGGTGTAAAACTTCTAGTGGCTACTCATTGAATGACATTTTGTTGACAGGTCCTAAACTTCATTTAGATATAGTTAATGTTATTTTAAAATTTCGTATTCATTCAGTGGCCTTCACTGCTGACATCAAACAAATGTTTAGGAATATTTTAGTTCGAAAGGAAGATAGGGATTTTCAGCGCATTTTATGGCGGAAGTCGCCTGATGAGGTTATCCGTGATTATCGTCTTTCTACAGTCACATTTGGAGTGAATTGCTCTCCATATCTGGCTCTCCGAACTATCCAGCAATTGGCTATAGATGAGGCTTCACGATTCAAACTTGCTTCTAAGGTTTTATTAAATGATGTTTTCGTAGATGACGTCACTTCCGGTGCCTCTACTGTTCATGAAGCTTTAGTAGTTCAACAAGAGCTTATTAATATTTGTAAGACGGCGGGTTTCGAGCTTCGAAAGTGGCATAGTAATTCACCAGAGGTACTTGCTGCAGTAATTCCCCCAGATTCTCATGGTGAGCGGCTCGATGAAGTCCGATTCGCCGAAATGGAACACGATGAACAGGTCAAGGTCCTTGGACTTCAATGGAACCCTATTTCCGACTGTTTCAATTTTAATGTCAAAATATCACCTTGCTTAAGCACCAAGCGCGCTATTCTTTCCGAGATAGCTAAAATATACGATCCATTGGGCCTTTTAGCGCCAGTTACTTTATATGCCAAACATTTGATCCAACTTTTGTGGATAGCCAATATAGGTTGGGATGAAGCACCGCCGATTGATATTGTTAATTCATGGAAATCATTTAGTAGTCAGTTACCATTTATTTCGAATGTGTCGTTCCCAAGGCACATTTTTTCTGATTTAGGATCTGTTCAGATTCATGGCTTTGCCGATGCTTCAGAAAAGGCTTTTGCCGCCTGTGTATACATACGCCTTACGGGCAAAGACGGGCATGTTCGTACTTCGCTTATTATAGCCAAAACTCGAGTCGCTCCACTTCGTATGCGTCTTACTATTCCCCGTCTCGAACTTATGGCAGCCCTATTGTTGTCAAAACTACTACAGCAGGTGTTAGTTACCTACTCAGATTACGTCAAGGGTGATCAAGTTTACGCTTGGTCTGATGCATCCATAGTGTTAGCGTGGTTACGTTCGCCACCACATGAATGGAAAACATTTGTTTCTAATCGCACTAGCGAGATTCTTTCACGCGTTCCCGTTAACTGCTGGCGACATGTACCGTCGACCGATAACCCTGCTGATGCTGCGTCTCGTGGTATGCTACCTGGCGTATTTATAGAACATGATTTGTGGTTCCAAGGTCCAAGTTGGCTCCGACAGGACGAAGCTTGCTGGCCGGAATCAAAGTCTTACTATACAACGGAAGAGGAAAAGCGTCTCAATATTAATTTGATTAACACTAATTTAACTACACTGGATCCCTTACCGGATGTAGAGATAATTTCTCGATTTTCTACGTTAGGAAAACTTGTTCGCGTTACTGCAATAATATTTAGATTTTATTTCAAATGTAAAAAACACATTAAATCTTGCCCTAATTATATAACTGTGCCGGAATATAATTTTTCCTTAAAAAAACTTATTTATTTAGTGCAACATAGTGTGTTCAGTAATGACATTGAAAACATTTCAAAGGGTAAATTGCCTTCAAATCAATTACGTCGTTTAACGCCATTTCTGGATGAAAATCAATTTTTACGTGTGGGAGGCAGAATTCATAAGTCTCTTTTACCATTTGAATCAAAGCATCAATTAATTTTACCGAAAAAACATACTTTAACCAATCTCATTATTGACGATGCGCATATAAAGTATTTACATGCCGGCCCACAAACAGTCCAATACTTATTATTACAACGTTTTTGGATACTTTCTTGTCGCGATATCGTGCGCCAGCGCATACATCGCTGTGTTATTTGTTTTCGCTCTCGTCCTAAGTCTAATCAGCCACGTATGGCACCGTTACCTGCTACTCGTTTACGTCCCTCGCGACCCTTTATTAAGACCGCCGTAGATTACGCGGGTCCTTTTTACGTACGTGCAAATAAGGTGCGCAATGCTAAAGTTGTGAAATGTTACGTTGCAGTTTTTGTATGTATGAGCGTTAAGGCCATACATTTAGAGCTTGTGTCCGAGCTTTCCACGGAAGCTTTTCTCGCGGCTTTGCGGCGTTTCACATCCCGTCGAGGTTTATGTACTGATATTTTTTCGGACTGTGGGAAGAACTTTGTCGGATGTAATAATTATTTAAGGGATTTGTTCGCGTTCTTAAACAGCGACTCTGTACAGGCTAATTTAAATCGAGAGACACTTAAACAAGGCCTAACGTGGCACTTTCAGCCACCATACGCAAGTCATTTCGGTGGGCTATTCGAGGCGGGTGTCAAAAGTTTTAAGCATCATCTACATCGTGTTATTGGCACTCGTACTCAAACATATGACGAGATGCATACCCTCCTATGTCAAATAGAGGCTATACTGAACTCGCGTCCACTCTGTGCAATCAGTGCTTCGCCTGATCCGCTTCCTTTAACTCCATCACACTTTCTGATAGGAGAACCTTTGATTGCTTTGCCTGATGTTTCTTTGGTGGACGAGAATACTAATCGACTTACGCGTTGGCGCTGGGTACAGCAGTCCGTTCAGCATTTTTGGAAGAGATGGAGTAGAGAGTATCTTCATGAGATTCAGCAAAGTCAAAAATGGTTTGAGACTCGCGGGTCTTCTATTCGTGAGGGTACTATTGTGGTAGTTTGCGATGATCACCTGCCACCATTACAATGGAAACTAGCACGTGTCCATGCTCTACATCCAGGTTCGGATAATGTTACTCGTGTGGTGACTTTACAAAGGGGCAATACATTTTACAAGCGACCTGTTGTAAAGGTGTGTCCACTCCCTATCGAATAAACAATTAATCGTTGCATATCGAATCTTAGTTCTAAGTTTTTTATTTATATTTTATTTTGTTCTAAATTTAATATTCAATTTGTTCATTTAATGTTAAAGGCACGTTCCTTTAAGGTGAGCGGCATGTTCCGTAACGAAACAGATCATTGATAATTGGCTATACAAAGACAACACAACTGTGGGTAAAATTTTTATTGTCTATGGGCAAGGCGATTAGCTGTCTTCGTTCCAAATCCCCACCCTTAATCCTTGGGTGACGGTTTACTACTGTGATTTCAAATTGTTAACTGCGCGCACCTAATTTTGATTGAGCTTGGTGAATTGTTCGTTATCGAGAATAAGGACATTTCGGAAGAACGGTGGATCAGTGCCTATGGACTATATATCGTGTATGATATATTCGCTGGTAACCGCGTCGACGCACCCCGTTCCAGAACCCAGCCCTCGGAACCCGTGGCGGTAAAGGATCGCTTGCGGTGAGTCGCCAACCCCTGCTTAATATCGTACACTTAGTTAATACAATCTATCGATTTTTTGGATATGTTCTCTAGATTTTCATGAATAATAATATTAAAGTGATGGCCCAAATTTAGCTATGCAACTTAAATTATTAATTAATTACTTTACCACACGGACTAAAATAAAAAAAAAGGTTTTAATAATTTTGTTGCGCAATTTAGAGGTATCAGAAGGACAATGCAATGGTGTTGTAAAAAGTCTCTGCAATCACGTTTAATTAAGGCAAAAATTGTTACTGGAAGTACATATACCAAGAATAACCCTTCACTTATTAAAAGGACAATTGGGTTGCACCATGCAGCGTCACCAATTTTCCGTTAGATTCTAATCAGTTGGTGTTGAATTAAAGTCCAGTCCGTTTTTTATGAATGGCATGTTATACGTAAGTTTATCTAGAACTAAGCAAACAACTGCTTTGAAAGTCCATCTTCTAAATGAAATTCCTCGAAATACCCACAATAAAGTATGGCAATAAGTATTAGGAAGGCCCGTTTTCTTAATATAACCAGCTGAACTAACAAACGTTGTTTTGCCATATAAATTTGATGTGGACAACCCTTATCACTTAGGGATCTCACATTCTAATAATATATGAGGGGTTATTTTTCTTAATCATATCTTAATCTTCATCATATTATTCTACCGTAAAAAAGCATATGGCAATAGCGAGGACGAAAATTAAACACAATAATGTACATGATTTAAAAATAACTAAATATATTCACTATCTTACAAACACAATTGAATAAAATTTGTTTATATACATTTTCAAATTTTCCAATCTTAAAAATATAATAATGAAACAAATTCAGATTGTTTTTCGAACATAGAGTATATATCAATATATGTATATTCTTTTTATTGTTATTCATTATAATTGCCAGGGTATTTCAATAATCTATGATGATGAACTCTTTACGTGAACGTAAAAGGTCTATGTTTATGTAAGTGATGAATATATATAAATAAATATATGAAATGTTTTATGTACGTATAGTGGATTCCCCACAAACAGCTGTGACAATGAATCTTTAATCGGTATCTCTTGTTATAATAAATAAATCAATTCACAGAGATCAAAGACTTTATTTCGCTCCAGAGGTAGCCTAATTCAATAATATTCAATTAATTCAATTACTTTTTTTTGACAATTATGAACCGATTGCTTTAATTACATTTCACACTTTGTTTGAACACAAACGTTTTTGTTTTAACAAGGAAATAAAAAAGTTTTTATTTTTATTAAAATATGTAATTTGTTTCTTTCTTTTTACAGGATAATCTTACAGTACCTTCAATAGCGATAGCTGAATATTTGAAGTCTTTAAATTTCAACAAGAAAATTTATTGTGTGGCCTGTCCTGAGACAATGCGAGTTTTAGAAAGAGCCGGGTTCCAATGTTTTGAAGGAGTAAGTTTGCTATAACCTTAATATCCATTTACTAATATTATAAATAGGAAATATTTTATTGTTTCTATTGAATAGGTACTGAAACTACTGGACTGATTTTAAAAATGTTTTCACCATCGGGAAATTACAAGGGAAATTACGGGCGAAATGTGTTAATAAATTGACTTTGTGTTAATAATTAATTATCGCAATCGATATCTCCTCAGATTCATCATCATCGCCAGTCTATTAGTATCCCCAGTAGTGGCGATCAGATGTTCCCTATTTGAAAGAATGGAACCAAATTTAATATGGCGGAATGGACCACGACCCGCCATGCGGGCCCTATGCGTTTTGGTGGGTATTAACGACTGCAGATGCAGCTAGAACTAACGGCTAAACGTGCCTACCGAATTACGGACGAGATCGAGATAATTAATTTTTGGTCATATGTTGATTAATACCGTATCGCAGATGGAGTGCACTGACCACTACGCCATCGATTTTCTGGTTCTCTATCCGACGATATTACAACAAAAACATTTTGAAGCCAATGCAAGTATTAATATATGAATCATGCGACTCATTATGAAATAATATAGAATATATTTCAACCTATTCCTTTGTCGTAGCCAGAAGTCGGCTCTGAAAACTATCGGGACTACTTGATATATCTCGAAGATGATCTTGATGTGGGAGCGGTGGTGTTTGACAGCGACTTCAGAGTGAACCTTCCGAGACTTTACAAAGCCCTAACGTACCTGAAAAGGCCGGAGGTACTATTTATAAACGGTGCGACGGACAGGCACGTGCCGTTTAAGCCCGGCTGTATGGTTTTGGGTAAGTATTTGACATATTTTGAACGCTTGCTTACTTACAATTGTGTTTATATAAAACACGAATACAGCTAAATCATGCTCTTAAAAGTTTGAATCAATATCGATGACCAAAGAACAGCGTAGTCGTATGACACTGATCTTAACAGCTATTTTTTTCTTTACTTAAATAACTTTCAGGTGTGTTTAAGCAAAATCGCAAGCAAAACCTATCAATATATATAATTGAAATGTACTAATTAAGCCCTTTAATTTGATACCCTACACGGAATTATTGAATAATATATAATAATATATGTTTTTTAGTTTCTTACTTTATGCTCTCTAGAGGGCGCTGTTGCCAATTTAACGTTTTAGAGCAAATTATCTGTGACAAAATCAGTGAAGTAATTATACCGTTTGAGGCCCGTGGCAAATTAATCGGATTTTCTATTTTTTTTTTTTACCAATATCGTAATAATTAAATGTCACGAGTAAGGAGTCTCCTCTGACCGGGGGCCCCTTCTAGCTGGGGGCCGTGGCATTTTGCCGACTTACCACCCTATAATTACGCCACTAGACAAAATATCCAAATGACATTTACAGATAGTTAAATTAGTGATTATTAGTTTATTACTAAACGAAATTTAACAATTGGTATGATGAAGTTTTAGTTTGTCTGTCTGTCGTCTAGTATTGAAGAATATTAAACACGTATTTTTTGCGTAATCAAAGTAGTAGTCAATAATTTCATCTCAATACATACATTGTAAAATGTCGCTTGATATCACACCTTTGTATATTTTTTACATATTTGTGACGTAACAAGCCCCCACTCCACAACCTTAATACCTATTATCTAAGCCATTTCTTATTAAATTGAAAGAAAAACACTTCTTTCATGATCAAATAAATAAAGCGTCCAACTTCCAACATCACAATCTAACATTGTGATCTTGGAAGTCAGAAGGTGATGTTTCTTGACTTTCACAAATGCTTGTAACAGCCTAGACACAATAAATGATTTTGATTTGATTTGACTTGATTAGAAGCCATAAAAACCAGCAATTATATATGAAAAGAGTAATTAAAGTGAGCTAGGCTGAAGATGCTTGGGAGGACCGTATTTTGTGGCGTTCGGTTCTCTCTGCTTGCCCAAGGGATACTGTGTGAAAATATAGATAGTTAGATAGATAAATAAAGTAAAAAAATCATATATAATAAAATATCTAACTGACGGACTAAAATATTTTTTTTCTTCACACAGGCATCATCTCTTAAGTTTGACACAATTCTAAAATAATAAATTGAGTAACCCATATACCTTCAACAATGTTTTTCACATACATTTGGAGATTAAATTATTTTAGCTGTTGAAAATAAACCATAATAATTTATATTAATTTTATAGGAACTGGAGCCTTCACTGATTTAGTTGTGGACGAAACGAAACGGCAACCAGTACAGTTGGGTAAACCAGGCAAACTTTTTGGAGAGTTTGCAATGAAACGAGCTGGCGTAACAGATCCAAATAGGGTGCTTTTCATTGGTGATATGTAAGTTTAGATATGCTTAACAATTCCTCCTAGTCACGACAGCTTTCCTGAATTGAGTGATCTTTGTGACCTATTGAAAATTTTGCGGAAAAATATGGCAGTTACTACTATCAACAATAATTTACTTTACTGATTTAATGATATATTAATAAAAGTATTACTATTCTTCTTCTTTCTTTTGTTTAATTAGTTCTTTCATTTTTTATTTGCTTGTTTAAAAATCAATATCTTTTGTAAAGCGGTTGTTCAAGATTCTTAACATTGCAATTGAAACCTGTGGTTGATCATTGACTTTTTACTAATTATGGGCTTTCTTTAGTCATTTTCTAAATCAATACATAAAAAAAGATCGAGCTTGAGATTAAAAGTAGCCAATTCACTATATCCTTATACTTTCTTATATTTGCGGCGACATCTAACTAACTGCGTTAACATCGCCACAGTGATAGAAAGCAAGGTGAAAGCTTCAAGTTATCTTACATACTCACGAGATGGCGCCTCGATGCGTGCATCGCACTAACTAAGTTTTGCTATGACTTCTGGTATACAAAAGTGCAAAAAAGGTACATCGATTGAACCGTTATTTTCAAGCTACTCGTACCAACAACCAGCTTGTTGGGAGATAATTTCCCTTTAGTCTAGTCTTACTAATACTACCAAGTAGGACCATAAACACCAACCGGTCCCACATTGTTATATTCTCTAAAAACATCGACGTCAGTCAACGTCAATATTGGTCAATGTGAAATTTCATACCCACCTGTGATGGCAAAAGAAACTCTTCAAAGACCTCAAAACTCATTATGTTATATCTTTTACAGGATCAAGCAAGACGTAGGCCTTGGAAAATCTACAGGATTCAAGACTTTACTGGTTCTAACGAACACAAGCAAAGACGAGATGATAGCCAATCAAACCCTAAGACCTGATTATTACGCAGAATCATTAGGGAGTATAGTACCGTTACTATGAAACAGATGGCGGTAAATTATATTTTCAACAGATCTGTGTAATGGAGAGTATTAATAATTGGATTACTATACACAATTATAATAGAAATTGAAAAAACATTGTAGTCCTATTCGGAATTCCATCCTATAATGTACTTAGGTTGGTGTTGTACTTATGTAGGTGTATAGTAGTCTCTAAACTAGCAAGTTTGATTCCAAATCGGGTTTACGTAGAAAAATAACACTTTCAATATAAATACTTTCATCACTTTCATTATCTCTTATATTTTTGTATCTAGATAATACATTTTCTTCACATTTCGCAATATAAAACTTGAAAAGAATAAATCATACAATGCCAGAAGCAACTGCTGTGACTTTTTTGAAGCAATTAAAAATAAATTACATAAACCATTAAACATTGACATTGATTTTTTTAGATGAGCAATAAAGGTAATGCTGTTAGTGAAGGAAAATTATAATCACAATTTTTTTTGTAAGCAATATTTCTGTAATTGTTCATATTTACCAGAATCGGGAATGTTATTATGTAGCTCGGTGGCGTAGTGGATCGTTGTCGATAAGCAACTTTCGCAAGCGTTGGTCACGGGATGGGTGACCAAAAACAATATTATCTCGAGCTACTCCGTACTTCAACGAAGGCAAGGAAGGCACGCTAAGCCGTTGGTCCCGGCTGCATTTGCAGTCGTTAATACCCTCCAATCCGCATTGGGCTTGGTGTGGAGGGTCATGGCCCATCCTCCTTAACCATCTATAAGGAAGGCTTGAGCCCCTGCTGTGGGGACGTAAAAGGGCTGATGATGATTTATTTTCCTTTATATCTTCTCCATCGCTAAACTCACGCAACTCAAATGAATCGCAAAACACAATTCGCATATAGAGGCATTCACATAATTGTAATAATTATGTTAGTGAAATTTTATTTTATGATTAAAAAGATTCAATTTATGTCGTTTTTTATTTACTAATTTTTCCAATAGTCTAGAGTTTGGAATTCACCATGTCATGCAGACATGTCATGTCATATAAGTTCAACATTACTTGAGACAAGCAACTCCAATATAGTAGTTTCCAAGCACTAGACACTTATCTATTATACACCATCAGTCTATTCAAGTTATTAAGTTTCATACAACGTTATAATCTACTAGAGTTAGTGATTCTAGATCACAAGTACGCTAGATCCCCTTAATTATTGCATAACAGACCTAATGAACTGTATTAGATTACTACTGAGAGCTTAGAAGAGAATACATGGACGTTAGATTATTATAAACTCCGGGTTTTTTTAAATTTAGATTTGAGATCTTATTGCTCGCAACTAGATGGGTAGATGGTCTATCTAAATTCATTGGCTGATCACAAGTTGCTTGATGTATTACTTATTTCCAAGAAGAGCCAAATATACACACCATAAAGAAAAGCTCTAAGAAGAGAATAGTACTTCACCCTCAATAATGAGGATTCTCAAGCAGACAGAAGGAAAATATTTCAAATGGATTGAAAGAATTTAATAAAGGAAAAAAAACTGAAAAACCCATTCATGCAAGAAATCGTCCAAATACTATCCTAGTCTCTACTTGTAATGTAACCTTATTACATAAACCTTATAAAATTTTTTGAGAGCATGAATGTTCTGTATGCTGATTTAACTACACTCAAATATTTTATTTAGTAGGTTCCAACATTCGAGTCTCTAATTTCCAATTCTCGAGGCTTTCCTTTCACAAATCCTAACCAATCGTTCGAAAAAAAAGGTCGAATTGATTACGCGAAGCGCAAAGTATTTATTGCTCTTTTTTCAATATAAATTCTAGCGACGACTGTAACCAATGTTTCCGGAATTTCTATTGGGTGCGTGAAAAGTGGAAAAACCCACAAGTATTCCGCCATTCGGGGTTCCCCTCATTGGAATATTGAACTCAACTGCACGATTTACATTTCTGTATCCAATAGCCAAACTATTGATTCCAGATATTTGAACTAGTCATGAGATCGTTTAAATGTCAGTCCATGAAGGCTGTTTTTGATGATGCTGTCCTAGCAATAATATTTCTTGTTATTTAGATGTCAACTATCGCTTCCCTCAACCATATTATAAGAAATAAATTAATATTTCAATACAGTTATCAATATCAGCAAGACACGTTAAACAATTTTTATATTGTTTAAATAAATAACTATGTGGATGGGTATGTGTGTGTGTGTGTGTGTGTGTGTGTGTGTGTGTGTGTGTGTGTGTGTGTGTGTGTTTTAATGAAATGTGTTATTATTGCTATTATTAGGCTTACCCGCAATGGAAATGGAATGTACTAGAAGAAATCCATAAATTTATTATATTAAAAAAATATTAATTATGAATTTATTATACTTTTACATCGTAAAGGATATAATTGGCTATTGATTTCTTATATTTTCACGCGCCCTATCCATAAATGAAACAATTTGGTTCATTCATACAATTGGATAACAAAAAAATCTATGTGCTAGGAAAAATCCATAAATTTATTAAATTCAGAATATTCTTTTGAATCAAACAAAAATATCGAATTCTTCATACCCACTATAAGCCAATGAAACCTGAAATTTTTGCCCTAATAAAAAAATATTCTTATATCTAATCCACAAATTATATTTCTAGATACTCTTGATAACTGAAACATACTTTATTTATTTCGTATCTCCTTTTCCTCCTGATTAATTGAGCCGACCTTCAACGAAATTTCCCCGGAGGCGTCTTCGGCTTCATCGCTGGGAAATAAAAATATATTTGACAGTATTGAAAAGAAATAGGATATCTAAAAATTCATCTAAATTAACATCGTTGCCACATATTCTAACTCTATATAATTGCTTTCAATGTAAGAATATAGCATTGTCTAACATTAATGAAATCATAACATTACATCAAAGCATCTTTCTTTCTTTGTCTCCAACAAATTCTGTGCATTGAACTTTTTTTGGTATTAGCTCTGATTTTTGTGTGGCGACCATTTAGAGATCAGGCAGCCGTTTAGAATCTTCCAGAACTTGAATATCAATTGAGTCGCAAACTATTAATAATAAGGGTTAAAGTATGAAATTCCCGATTTGTACTGAATTTTTTTTTTTTTAACAAATTTATTTAATCTAAATAGTAACCATTATTATTCATACATTGCTGCCATTTATGCCTTATTAAGCCTTATTTAGGAAGGTCATTTATAACTCTAAGGATCTAGAGTGCACAAACTGTGTGAAAGCATTTTGCACTGCCTCCTGGGAAGAAAACTTCTTGTCACGTAGATAATTGTCCATATCACGAAAAAAATTGTAGTCAGTTGGAGCAAGGTCTGGCGAATACGGAGGATGACGAATGGTTTCTACCTGCAGTTCCTGAAGGGTCAAAACGGTTTCTCGTGCTGTATGAGGTCTCGCGTTGTCATGGAGCAATAATGGTGAAGATCGATTCATGAGTCAGGGCTGTTTTAGTGCTAGTTTTGCCAACATTGCTTGGAGCTCGGCACAATAGACGTCTGCCGTTATTGCTTGACAAGATGGGAGAAAATCATAGTGAATAACACCATGCTGAGACCACCAAACAGTTATCATTACCTTTTTATTGGTAAGTTTTGCTTTAGGACACTGTTGTGGCGTTTGACCTGGGATCAGCCATTGCATTTTTCTTTTACGACTGTCATTAAAAATCCACTTTTCATCACATTTCACAATTCGATCCTTCGAACGTTTTAATTCTTCATTTCAACACGCGTTTCTTTCTGCAGGTCAGTCAAATCACGAGGCACCTATTTTTGTATTTTTTTTATTTTATTGATTTGACGCAAACAAGTCAATATTGTGGGTAAGGTAACGTAATATCATGCCCCTAATTCCTGGGTAGTTTGACTAGGATCGGCTTCCACTATCTCCCTTAATTCATCGTTATTCACCTGTTTGAGCGGTCTTTCTCGTGGCTCGTTCTTCAAGTCGAAGTGTCCATCAAGAAAGCGTTTAAAACAAAATCGCACGGTGCATTAATTAGCATGCATGTTTCTGCGTTAGAACTGGTATTCATAAATCACTCGAATTTTCGCAGTATCTCTCTTTCTTATCCAAGTTAAATAAGAAAAACAATTGGATGTCGATATTCAAATGTATCACATTTTTTAAAAGAAGAACATCATAGAAACGATGTGAAAAAAGTTTCTTTCGAAAACCTCAAATTATGAAGATTCTATGTCAATTCAAGAAACCTATTACAATAAAATGGCAATTTCATACTTCAACCCCTTATATATAACATAAATATTCCACGCTGTACATTCCAAAAACAAAGCCGCTAGATGTTAAAAATATTGCATTTGTATGCATGCTAAAAGTAAGTAAACAGCTTATGCCGATTTTATATTATTATAATAAGCAAGATCACTTATAATATTATGAAATTGCAGTTTTCTATTAAACGATTTTCTATATCAAAGCTATTTCTTTCAATTATTTGAATCTTCTTTTATTTGTGTTATGTACTCTAAGCCAGGTCAGCCTTTTTAGTTTGTTATACTTTTAATATGTTATTAAATTCATATTTGTCATCGTTATTAATCAGCTGTACCTTATTTGTGATCTTTACATTTATAGTAATTTGAAGGAGAAAACCTGATAAGGTGCCCAATTACAAACAAGAATAAACTAAACTAGATAATCTAATTAATATATAAATTTTAAAACACATAAAATATAATATATATATATATCTATATACACACACATAAATATAATATATTAAATACACACATACACGATTCACCATTAAAGGAATCTGCCTGCTCTAAAAGGTAGCTGCGTAACTTCGTTTTAAAAGTATATCGACTGGTACACATTCTTAGGTCTAAAGGAAGAGAGTTCCATAGGATTTACATTGAACAATACCATTTCTACTAGCTCTCCGTTCGGATTTGGTTTTCTAATGTTTTTATACGGAATCTTTTCTTGTTCACCGTTGTTACTTTATTTTTTTTTTTTTAGAAACGAACATCACTGAAACTTTTTCAAGCTCTCACAGTCCGGTGGTGTTGAATTTTTTTCATGCATTCATCGGATACCGTCCCAGTTTCACAGTTACCACTGTACTGAAATGAACTGTACAAATAAAAAGAATTTCCGGTGGTGGAAACTAAAATACTCTCTCTTTTTCGGTGAATTAATGAGAACTAAATAAATATAATTAATAAATCCTACCTTCATGTTATCCTTATCAATATATTGTAGATAAGTAGATTTATTTAACTAAGTATTAGACAACCAACAGCATACATACTTCAACTTACTTCAGTAGATTAAAGTTAGGTTTGAATCTTATATATATACCATTATAGGTTGACATAGCATTGTTAACATATATATATATATATATATATATATATATATATATATATATATATTTTTAAGTACGCGTAACCTAATAGACGGCACCAACAATTCACTCCACCACTGTAACATAAAACACTAATAAGAAGGCTAAGACACTCTCCGGTTCTCAGTGAAAATTCAGATCAAAATCCTGTAACACAGATCACGGGGCTTCAGAGACCACGTCAACCCCAGTCCCTTACCCAAGCCAATCTAGTCCAAAGAACTAAAGAATTACCGAAAATGAGCTTTAAAACTTAACTGCGAGTTGAAAAATATATCTAGTTTAGGCAAATAAGAACAGAATTATTGTATGCGGCAGAAATGCGAGGCAACGGAATGCCTAAAAACGTTTGTCCGAGATGCGGGAATAGAAAACAATTTGGATATAGGTTTCCTTAGTATTAACATTAAACTAATAATAAAATACAGAAGAATTCTAGATAGAAAAATATCAAATAAATCACCAAACAACTGAAAGCGTTTTCTGAGAAAAAAAATTAAATAAAATTTAATTGTAATAATAACCAAAAATCCGACGAAGCGTTTCGAGGAAAA